TGAAGAGCTCAAGAAGCTCAGCTTTACTTCTTGGTCTTCTTGGGTACAAGGTTTTTGGCGCCATTTTTCTTGACTGCAGGCTTCTTTGCAGACTTTGGATTCTTAGGTTCGACCTTCTTGGGGCTCTTGGTCACCTTCTTGACCGCCTTCTTGGCCGGTGCCTTCTTGGGAGACTTCTTGACTGCTTTGGGCTTCTTAGCAGTGGGTTTCTTGCCTGCCATGGTCTTCTTGACGGCAGACTTCTTAGCTTTGGCAGGAGCCTTCTACTTCACCACTTTCTTGGCTGGTTTGGTGGCTAGAGGCTCCAGCTTGGCAAACTTGAAGGATGCCGGTGCCTTTAGTCTGGCTCAGGGTATCACTGGTGACCAGCTTGGTGAAGGCAGTGTTGATGCGTTTGTTGACCTTGCTCACGTCCACTCCTTTCCCAGCCAGCACTTTCTTGAGTGCCACCAGAGACACTCCCTTCTGCTTCTTGCAGTTGATCATGGTGGACTCAGTGAGCTTCGGAAGGCTGGGCCCTTCCTTCTTTGCTGTTGGGGCCGACTTGGTCATGGTGGACTCAGTGAGCTTCGGGAGGCTGGGTCCTTCCTTCTTTGCTTTTGGGGCCGACTTCTTCTTCAGGGTTTTGGCTGGGACTTTAGCTGGGGCTTTAGCTGGTTCAGTAGCTGGAGCTTCTTGTGCCATGTCACTGTTATCTTCTAACTCATGAAAAACTGTAGTAGCAGCATTTTAGATCAAATGAAGACTTTTTAAAGAGGTTTTTTTTGGACACCCAGATGATAAAGATTTACAATAGTCCAGCCTAGGCGTGATAAATTCATGGGGCAGTTTTTCTGCATCATTTCAGGACAAGATCTTTCTAATCTTAGTGATATTGGGCAGGTTGAAGAAAGCAGTCCTGCTAACATATTTAATGTGGGGGTTAATGACATATCCTGATCAAAAATAACATACATTAGAACTGGAAGCCAAATTAATGCCGTTCAGAGGTCATGGAAGATTCCATAGCTTGTTCCTAAGAAGCTCAGATCCAAAATCCACAACTTTGGTCTTCTGAGTTAGAAAGCAGAACATTAAAGTCTTGGAGGTTTTTATGTTTCTTAGACAAGCATGTAATCAAAAAAACTGATTCATCAGTTTTCATGGATAAATAAAACTGAGTATAGTCAGCATAATAATGAAAGTTTGTCCTGTGCTTTCCAATAGCTTTACCTAATAGCTACAACAAAAATGGTTATAACCCCGTTGTTTATATGTTATCTTCGTTTAAAATGCTAGCATTGCTGGCATAGTGCCAAATGCATTTCTTCATGTAATGCTAGGCCTTTAACTGTAACTGAATGTTTTCTTCATTCATCTGCTGTGTCAGCCTTTTGGCAGAGTAAGCCACACGTCGTACTGGCTTTGAGAGCACTGGTCCTCTTCTCAGCTCCCATCAGGATAAACAGTCCATTTTGAAATCCATACTGCACAGTGATGAATATAAGCACTTGTAACAATAAACTGTTTTCTTCCTTCATTTGTGCATGACATCAACTCAAACAACACCAGCGTGGAATTTGACTGGTTTTGTTTGACCGATTTCTGGATGCTCTGTTTATTTGTTTTTGTTTGTTCTGAGTTTGACAAAGTGTTATAGCAGGGGTCAGATGGGGCTGTGTTTGACCACACACAGTCTGAAAATGGAATGACTGGTTGTTTGTGAGCACCTGCTTTCAGTTATAGTTTCCCCTCATCTCTCAAACACACACACACACACTTGTGTGCCACTTTATTGTTGATATGTGCTGCTGACTATCCATGTTGCTGATCTCATGCTGCTGATTTATTTCATGTTGCTGTGTTCATTCGTGCTCATCTGCTCATACAGACTCGTGTTCGTGCTGCTGTTCGACATATTGTTTTTGTACCATTAGTGCTTAGCGTATTTCTTAGTTCATATCTTATCTTGTTACTGTTTGTCTTTACAGTTTATACTTTTGTTGGATGTAACTGGGAGCCTGTGTACACAATCTCATTCCACCACATGTACCACATGTGGTAAGAATGACAATAAAGAAACCTTGACCTTGACCTTGACACACACACATCACAACACAGCAAGGGCAGCAACTTTGTCCTTCGTTCCTTTCTCAAAGCAACAATTCGGATGTTTTTGAGTGAGGTTTTATAAAAACTAAAACATAAATGAATAGCTTACCTGTTACAGATAGCTACTTGAAGGAACTCAGTTTTCAAAAACTGAGATTAATTCTTACATGATTGATGAGCTAATGAATTTGATAATTTTTCTGAGATTAGAACGGTTTTAAAAGGCCATTTATCCACTTTGGTCTTAGCTAGGACTTAATTTGTAAACCAGTCAATGCCAGAACACAAAGAACACAAATAGTGGACGGGATGGTGGTGGTGGTGGGGGGGGGGGGGTCGGGGGGGTCTGGGGGTTCTCCCCCAGAAAATTTTGAGTAAAGTAGATGCAATTTCCTGCATTTTGGTGTATTTTAATGGCATTCCCGCAGAATCCGACTCAAATTAAGCACTGGTCTTAGTATCACCAAGAACTAGCAACACCAAAGCTCATCAATCCAGTCAGAATTAAACTCTATTTTTCCAAACTGGGCTCATTCAAAACGATATCTACAACATGTAAGATTATGAGGGTTCATAACGCCACTTCAAAAGATCTAAGCCTAGTCTTTAAATCTTTGCTGCCTTTGTGTGAGTTAACGGTTACATCTGATGTACACAAAACAATGTGTGATTGACAGGGGCATGAAATAAGGTGGTAGGATGGGTTCAACGAGTGGAGCAGATTGGTGGGGCATTTTGGATTTAAAATCTGTCCCCGTGTGTGTGTGTGTGTGTTGCTGGAAATGATTGTCAGCAGGCAGTGCCTCTGAGAAAAAGGGGAAAAGGAGGGTGATGTTTCCAAAGGGGGCCCAGTCTGTTGCCAAAAGGAGGTGGAGACTGCTATCCCACCCAGTCAAAGTGTCTCACTGGTGCTCTGACACACACATACACACACACACTTAGGCATACTGCAAACTCTCCACAGGAAACTCTGAGCCATAATGCGAAGGCACCTCAGAGCAGATGGGTACATTGCTCAAACCAAGTGGGATATGGCGCAGCTTTGATAGTGCTTTAATTACTCATGTGATGTGCTACAGATGTCTGGGGGCTTCAGCTAAAAGTTTGCCTGACGCTTTCCAAGGGGTCCAGACAGACATTTTAGAAGCGGTAGGTGAAAACCAAATGTATTTATTATTTATGGACGGATCAGTTTGTGCGCTGTCACAGATCCCAGCAGTGTCATGCTGATGCTAAACTGTGATGCTACTTGAAGGGCTGGTTGCTAAATAGTTTTTTGTGTACTTGGTGACAGCAGGGACTCTGAACAGGAAGAACTCTGGGCTGGAAGTCTTGCCTATACTAAGACATGATAATAAAAAAAAGAGCTTCAGCTCTTTGACAGTTTGAAACTTTAACCAGCCATTACCGTCTGTTTTGTTAGATGAATTTCGCTGATTGTGTCCAAATCTTAATATTTTATGTAGGAAAGGGAAATGTATAGAAAAATGTAATGTTTTATTGTGTGAATTTTGATCTTCAGTTTTCATGCTTACATTGGAAAGCTTACTGGAAATTATCCCCACCCCCCACATTTTTAAAAAATATTTTAGTGGGGAAACAACTCATAGTGTTTTAAGTTTTAAAAATTAGCAACAGGAAAGGAACTGAAAGCTGGAGATATCATAAAGTGATCTTTTATGTGAAAGTCTCCTTGTCACAACAACCATTTTGGCTCAAAAACACAAACAAGTCTTCTTTCTTGTAGAAATGAGTGAGAGCAAATGAGCGGCATGATGCGCTCTGTTGATGTCTTCACTGTCTGATTGTAACCAGGGATGGCATCTCCCATCAGTGCCCCCTCGGCAAAATCTTTTTGAAGTCTTAAAGACTAAACATCATTGTGGCTCCTAAGTGGGACAGTGGTGCTTCCAAGATTTCTTGTGTCTGACTTGTATTATAGTGTAAATAATGAATAAGCTTTCACAATGCTGCTTTGCTGGGGTTTTAATAGGTTTTTTTTAACACTTTATTTAACTGTTCATAATGTACACTCAAACTCATTCAGGAGAGGAGTGCTGTAACTTTTTTGCTTTTTGTAACTTTTAAGTTGTTGTTCAGTGCTTTGGTTGCAACTTGTTGTTTTTAAATGTGATTTATTAATAAAATGACTTGACTTTACTTTTATATATCGCCAAGCGTTTAACTTTATAAATATTTTCCCTAAAAAAAATACAATAACATTCCTTCAAATCTTTCAAAAACATTGTTCTTTTTTAAAATCTGCATCAGAATTGTTATTTAATTTTCCTGTTTTTACTTTAAAATTTTAGCTACTTTTCTGCAACTGTAGCTTTTAGCTAGCCCTTTGATGCTTTTAGGTTAAGTGAGCCTTTTGCTACATGTAGTTTTAATTAGCCTTTTGTTATTTTTAGCTTTTTTCTCCTTTTAATTACCCTTTAGCTACCATTAAAGTCAATTTAGCTTTGAGCAAGTGTTTAACTACTTTTAATTTTTAGCTAAACTTTTAGTATTTTTAGCTTTTAGCTAGCTATATGTTATTGTTTTAGCTTTTGAATAGCCTTTTGTGCACTTTCGGCCACTTTACTTTTAGCTAGCTTATTGTTAATTTAGCATTTAGCTAGACTTTTGATGCTTTAAGCAAATACTTTGCTACCTTTCCGTACTTTTGTTTTAGCTTTAAAACCTCAGTTTCTATTGTTTCATCATATTTTAACTCTTCAGTCGTTCACTATTCACACTGAATTTTCACTGAAGCTGCTATGTTTGTATTTAGACGTTGCTTTCTTGTCCGTTTTTAAAGTAGAACACGTATTCAGAAGTATAAAGTATATATATGTTGTTTTTGTTTCTCCTCAGAGACAAGATTCTTTCAATCCGTAAAATCAAAGAACTCAACGCTTCCAGTAATGGGGACTCCACCTCAGACTCTGCTTGTGCTGATGGTCTGTTTGGCCGCCAGAGGAATGTGTCAGATAAACGGGGTTGAAGCTGACGACGCTCTCCCCGGCCTGGCGGTCTACTCCACCTTGCAGACTCCGGGCTTCTACAGCACTGCTCATCCAGGAAAAGGACTCGGTGTCCCCCCACTGGTCCCAGGAGCTGAGGCTCAAGCTCTGGAACCCAGCTCTTCCAATGAAACTGTTGTAAAAAGGCCACTGCCACCTCCGAAATGCCTCACGTCTCCCTCCATCAGCAACTATTTTAAGTACATCAACACCGTAATTTCCATTACAGTCTTTGTGGTTGGTCTGGTCGGAAACGCCACCCTCCTGAGGATTATATACAAGCACAAGTGCATGAGGAACGGGCCCAATGCTCTTATTGCCAGCCTGGCCCTCGGTGACCTCATCTACATTTTCATTGATATCCCTATCAACGTATACAAGGTAAAGATTTGGCTCTTGTTTCTCGTGCAGAGAAGTGGTGAGTGACAGGTCTCAGTGTTGATATGACAAAACGCAGCCACAGCAGAGGAGACGTGTTCCGATAAAGTGGAATATTACAGACAGGAAAAGGAGGGTGGTAGTGGAAGGGAGTGGGGTTGAAGGAGTTCGCAAAATGACAGGAAACTGTAATCAGTCAGACAGTGTTATCTTCCTCATGCAGTCAGATTAGTGATGAGAGGAGCTGGGATATGCTAGGCTTAAATAAACACTAACGTCGGCCTGTAGTCATACACGCCACCGCATTGACAGGAGGCATAGACATTCTATCTAAAACAAGTATTTTTTAAGTACTTTATTAGTACATAGACAGGCAGGCTATCATGTAATTGATTGAATTCATGTATTTGCCAGTGTCTGTGTATGTGTGTGTTCATTTGTCTTAGTGTTGAGAACAGAACTCTGAATCACTGATTGTAGCTGATTTTCTTTTACAGTCAGTCAGGTTTACGATGGCCCCCACAGCTAATGAGCCTTAGGAAATACAAAATGACTAACTCTGTTCAAGCATAAATTGTGTGTAGATGAGTCGTGTCTGACTCATCTGAAAGCTAACAGACCTGTGTTTAAAATTTGACATACAATTTTGGAGTCCAACTCGGTTCATCTGTTAGCAAAATTTTCTGTGAATCAATACATGCATCTCAGTGAAACTTTCAGAAATTATTGGATGTATTTTTAACATTTTTTTTGGGAGTAAACCCAACTCAAGGTGATTGCAACACCTAATTAAACATTAAAAAAATGGTTTTAACTTGGTCAGTACAGAGCTAAAATCTGCCGTGGAGTCGCCGATAGACTCTCTCAACACATGCTTTGAGATTTAACAGAGCCCGCAAGATCTTTGTTTAAGCCTTTGGCATGCAAAGCAGTAATCAACATGTGTTCACTCAAGAAATGCAAGCTTTTATTTATTTCTATGAATAAAATAAACTTGTAGGCTATTTTTAACATGGCTTTGTCTCGAGCCTAAAGGGGTTTTTGTGGGTATAAAAAGCAAGAATATAGAATAAATACTGCCATGTTTTAGATTAATGTATTTAATCTGATGTGAATTACTTTTTTTCTGTTATTGTGAAATACTCAAGTAATCAGAGAAATGTTACATGTAGAATCAGCAGCCCCTTTTTTGAAATGTCTGTAAATAAATACGAGAACGACAGATGATTCCACTTTAGCGTAACTCGTGGCACTTTTGTTTGCGTCTGGGCCACTGTCAAATATGAATCTTTTTCTTTTTCTTTTTTTGTGGGCTGATGTGCTGAATTGCTGCAGGGCTCTCACCTCCGTTTGATTCACACCAAGTAAACACTGTCATGCTTTGTGTAATATTAAAGATTCATTCAGGTCTTTTCAGCCACATTAAAGGATGTTTGGCAGGAGGAAAACTGAGTAAGCCACCTGGTTAAAATTAACTTGGGACTCTGAGGGCACAGCGACTTTGTAGTCTGAGCAGCACATGTGCAAAGAGGAAACTAAAATCTTCAAGGGGAAACAGTCTACGCACAATGAAAGAAAGACCTCCCCCCTTAGAAACACTCAAAACCCCAGTTTCTTCTTCCTTGGGGCAAGGACACTGTTTAAAAATCTATCATCCTTTGTTTCGCCTCATGGAAGAAAAGTGTCACAAAAGTGCAAAGCAAAACTCTGTGAAGATGTCCTTGTTTCTTTTGTTTTCCTAAAAAAGGAAATCCGATAACGTCTAATCTTTGAAAACCATGGCAGACTACAAAAACCAGCTACTGAAACTGTTCTATACTGAGAATTATTGTGTTTACTATGGATTACTCTGTTTAAAAAAAAGTTTTACCAGTTTTGTGATTGTGGCTTTTTAATTGGTCGTTACACGTTGATTGGTTATAAAAAGGCATCCTAAAGAGGCTAACTGTTGGGAAATAAAGATATAAAAGAGTTCACTGCGCCCTTTACAACATGGCTATTCAAGCATTTTGGATTCTGGGACCCCCTCATAACTTATGTTTATTAAATAATTTTCTTCAATTTGTCTCTTTAATGCAATGGAAATATTTGTGTAACATAAATACTTAAGACCTGTTCTTTAATAGTGTTAATACAATTTTTATACTTTAAACACAGGGTATTTTCATTCAAGACACACTTAATTAACAGAATTTTTAATTTCAACTTCCAAAAATTACAGTTTTGATCAAATTAACAGAATCAAAAATGACTTTAAAACTTTACCTATTCACATAATGAATATAATAAATGTATCACTACTTCTTCAAATTATTACAGAAAACCGAAAAGCATCAAAACAGCCGTAGTCATACCAAGTAAGAAGCTTAATTTGTAAACTGATAAACTGTAATGCATAAAGTGGGTGGGTGGGGGCATCTGGGGGTCCTCCCCTAGAAAATTTTGAATAAAGTAGATGTGATTTCTTGCATTTTGGTGTATTTTAACGAGTTGCTAAACATCGACATGCTTGTAAAAAAAATACATACATACACACATACATATACAT